CACGAGATCGGCCACACGCTCGGCCTGACCCACTCGGCGGCGCCGCGCGCGCTCATGGCGCCCTACTACAAGAAGCTGGGCCGCGACGCGCTGCTCAGCTGGGACGACGTGCTGGCCGTGCAGGGCCTGTATGGTGAGCCCCCGAGAGCCCCGCCACGGCGCCCACCCCCACCAACTACGCCGCGGGGCCCCCAGGGCTCCGACACCTGCTCTTCAAATACGATCCCCCGTCCTAAGCAAAGGGAGCTGGCCTCCCCGTCGCTGGTCCTTCCCGATCCTGAAACTTCAGGCTCCCCTCAAATCTGAAAAACCTCAGGCTCCTACTCTGCTCCACCCCCATGCCTAGCCTCTAGCATCCCACCCAATTCCAGTGTGCGGCCCTCCTTTGCGTCCCGGTTCCTGATTCCTGCCCAGCCCCTGCCGTGGCGGTTCCTCGCATGGCCCTGCCCCATCTCTCAGACTCGGTCCTCGGTCTCACCCAGACCCCAGAGCCCTCATTCCTGCTCCTAGCTCCAGCTGCTCGCCCCGAAACCTGCCCCATCCGTGATGCTGATGCCCACTTTCCTCCCAAGCCTGGGCCTCTGCCTGGCCGTGGACTTAGACAAGGTCTTCTCTCCCAAAATAAACTGGCCGGTGCTGCCGCCCGGAGACTTACCTGGACCCGAGCCAGGCCCGGCTCAGCCCAGGGCTGTGTCCATCAGAGCCTATGGCACGGTGGACAGGGCCAGGAGCGCTGGGATCAGGTCACCATTCCATTCTGGATTAGCAGTTGCTCTTGGACAAAGCATTTACCCTCTTAGGGTCCTCAGTTTTACCTTCTGGGAAAAAAAAAAAAAAGAAGAGTCAATAATTGAGGCCCTGCTTACCTCACAAGACTGTGGTTGGAGTGGGTATGAACATGCTTTGTAGCCTAAAAAACCTACATATATGTAATAATAACAGCTGCTATCTCGTAAGTGTCTACTCTAGCCAGGCACTTAACACACCCATGAGGTAAGCACCTTTTTATCCACAGATGGAGAGAATGGGGCTCAGAGAAGTTGAATAACTTGTCCAAGGTCACACAGCTAGGAAGTTGCAGACCAGGATTCAGGAGCTGGTGCCAATTCTAAGCTTGCTGGACTCTGCCTCACTCTCTTAAGTGAGGTGTAGTGGTGTAGTTACTGTAACTGCTATAATTATCACAGCCTGGGTCCCCGAACTCTGCCCTCATGCCATCTGCATTGTCCAGGACTCAGGGAAAAGGACCCTCTGCCCTGAGTTCTAAATCCTTGTTTGGTTCCCCATTCCAATTTTACCTCAGTAGGTTCCTCTTCACCAGACTCTTTGGTAGGAAAGACTTCTGAGTTTGGTGCTATGGTGAACACCAACAATCAAAGACCACTCTTAACCCTCACCCCTGCTCTCTTCCCTGCCCCTCACGTCGGATAGTGAAATGAACCAAGGGGGAGGTCTTGAGCCCTCAGCACATCCCCAACCAGTGTGCATTCTCTCCCACCTCCCTCCTTCCCCATGAAGGGAAGCCCCAGGGGGGCTCAGTGGCCATCCAGCTCCCGGGAAAGCTGTTCACTGACTTTGAGGCCTGGGACCCCCACAGACTCCAGGGAAGGCACCCTGAAACCCAGGGTCCTAAATATTGCCACTCTTCCTTCGATGCCGTCACTGTAGGTAAGATGGTCCCATCCAGTGCCTTGCTTCCTTCTTCTCTCCTCCCCCACATTCCAGGGGTCTCCAGAGCTGGAGTACAAGGTGGGGGCGGTGAGCCAAATTTGTAAAAACCAGAAATCCCAGGTCACAAGCATTCTGCAAGCTGGCATGCCCATGTCAAGCAAAACACTGCTTTCTCCTGCATTTTCCCTCCTGTCCCACCTGTGCACACGCATCCTCTCTCATCTGTTTGGGAAGCTGGGCTCTAGGAAAGTGTCTTCCTTAGGCAGGAGGCTGATGATCACTCCTCACCTATCTCTTATCTCTGGACAGATGGGCAACAGCAACTGTACATTTTTCAAGGGAGCCACTTCTGGGAGGTATCAGCTGATGGCAACGTCTCCGAGCCCCTCCCACTACAGGAAAGGTGGGCGGGGCTGCCCCCCCACATTGAGGCTGCCGCAATATCACTGGAGGATGGAGACTTCTACTTCTTCAAAGGTAGCAGCCCTGGGGCAGATGAGAAAATTGAAGCCTAGAGAGGGAAGGTGTCCTGTCCAAGGTTAAAAGAGGGGAGGAGTCTCAATTCCAGTCTGAACCTGTGGCTCCAGGAACATCTACTGGGAGATTCCTTTAGTGATGGATTAGGGGGTGTCAAGATTGTCCCAGAGAGAGAGTGGGAGGATTTCAGAGAAAAGTTTATTGGGAAGCAGAGGACAGCTCTGAGCTCTATCATACAGCAGAAGACTGTACCTTACTTGGAATCCTGGCTGTGTGGGGTCGGGCCTGCCACTTAACTCTTGGAACCTGAACTTATTGAATGGAGAAAAGAATTGTTCAGGTTTGTTGGGGAAGGAGGATTAAAAGACACGTCTGAGGAATGTGCAGTATATTACATCAGAAAATAGTGTTCATTTCTTGATTCAACAAATATTGAGTGCTTTCTACAAACTTGGTTGGAGGTTCTGAGATACAGTAGTGACCAAAACAAATCCCTGCCCTCATTGGTAGGAATGGTCATGGAGAAAGCCCCTGGCCTTCCCTGTAGTCCATTCCTCAGCCGGGAGGGGGCGTGCTTCCTGCCTGGGCTGGGTAGGTTTTCAGCGCTACCTGCCCTCTGCTGACACCTGCTGGAAGTGGAGGCCACAACAGTCCCTCCTCTGTTTATAACTGATCCATTTTGAGAATCACCAATACTAAGTACCCTGGATTCCAACAAGAGGAGGGTAGAGGTATGAGGGGACAGAGATGGGGTAGAGGACCAAAGGGCAAGAGCCACCAGCTCACCCTGGCTTTCCCAATGTCCTACAGGAAGTCGATGCTGGAGGTTCCGGGGCACCAAGCCAGTGTGGGGCTCACCACAGCTGTGCCGGGCAGGGGGCCTGCCTCGCCACCCCGATGCAGCCCTCTTCTTCCCTCCTCTGAGCCGCCTCATCCTCTTCAAAGGCCCCCGCTACTATGTGCTGGCCCCAGGGGGACTGCAGGTGGAGCCCTACTACCCCCGAGGCCTGCAGGACTGGGGCAGCGTCCCTAAGGAGGTCAGTGGTGCCCTGCCCAGGCCCGACGGCTCCATCATCTTCTTTAGAGATGACCGCTACTGGTCCCTGGACCAGGCCAAACGTCAGACAACTGCCTCAGGCCGCTGGGCCACAGAGCTGCCCTGGATGGGCTGCTGGCACGCCAACTCAGGGGGCGCCCTGTTCTGAAGATGCCCCCAACCTCTTAGTGGACTGCGGATGCCCTCATGGCCAACTTGTGTCCCCTGCCCCGAGGACAGACAAGCCTCTGGGGCTCCCTGCAGAAGTCCGGGCAGGAAAGTTTGCCTGCGTTTGTTCCCTGGAGAATGTCTTTGTGCTGTCAAGACATTGATCTTTGTGGGATCAATCCAACGAACGAGAAGCCAAAAAGGGTTCCAGATGCCATGACCCTTTCCCCCAGGACCCTTTCCTCCCCAATCCTGGGGGATTTTGTTTTTTTCCCTAAAGATGCAATTCCTGTCTGTGGGGCTACAGCATTGGGCAACCAGGAAGGATGCAAAACAACAGAGTGGTTGGGACCACTTTGCAAGACCGTCCCTTGCTCTCAGGACCTCCTTGTCAGTCCATGGAGAAATGTGTCTTATTTAATCAGAGGCCCCACCCCTCAGGAAGCTTAGATGGGTTGGGTACAAGGGTCTCCAATTTCAGGGGCATCAGGATCAGAACAAGAAGGAGACTGAACAAGAAGCAGGCCTGCTGGGCCCTGTTTTTTGTGGAATAAAGAAATGCCCCAGCTGGTGGGCTTGGAGCAGGGAAGCAGCCTTTCTTGAACTGGTTTCCAGTGAGAGCAGGTGGGCATGGATGCTGGGGAGGCCACAACTATGTTGTCCCATCTAAGCCAGGACCAGTGAGTTGTGTGAGTAGCTGTGATGGGGAGAGGGTCCCTGCCTCTCCTCAAAATCAAAATGTCTCTCCCCCACCTCACCCCTCCTGGCCAGATGGAGAACTCTGTGTGGCATAGAGAGGACAGGGGCCTCTCTGAAGGTCTGCACACTGCTGGGGCTCGGGGCTCTGCAGGGGTGGGGGTGGGGGCGCTTGGTGCTCACAATGGCCCCATTCTCCTGGCCACACATGAAGCATTCCAGGAGCTCCCGCTGGCCGGCCAAGAATAGCTGGGATTCCTGGAGAAAGACCCAACTCCCCTGCCTCCCAGTCCTGTCTCAGCGTTTCAGGATCCAGCGTTCCGGGTTCTCTAATCCTGCCCCCTCCATACCTGCCAGTTCCTCATCTGCACACACTGACCTCATCCAGACCCGGCTTCCCCCAGGAGGGGGGCAGGTCCGGCAAGCTTCAGCCCTCAGCTCCCCGCGGGCGTTAGCATTCCTGGCCGGGAGCCTTCCTTTTCTTCTCTGAGCAGTGGGGAGAATGGCCTTTGACTGCCCTTGGCTGCAAATGCTTTGTTCCGCCCTGTCCGAGGGGAGGTGGAGGGAGGAGGCTCTCCTCCCGCCCTTTCCCCTCTGGCTTGAACCCGGGGGAAGGGAAAGGAGGGTCGACCTTCATCACCCTCACTGAGATCCTCGGCCCCACCTCCATGCACTGGCACTTTGATTAGAGGCTTTATTGAATGTTTTGACGGAAGGGGCAAGTTTCCCAGAAGGGCTGTTTTCTCTTCTCTAGGCGATGCCTCTGCCCACCGGGCCAGAAGGACCTGAAATACCCAAGAGATGAGTGTGAGGCTGCGTCAGGGGACGAGAGTCAGGTGGGCGGTGGGCACTGTGTGCTTCCCGGGGGCGGGGGCCCTCGGGGGGACGCTCCTGGAGGTATGGAGCTCCAGATGATGGGCTCTGCACGAGGTGGGCGCTAATGACAGGTGGGGCCGCCGCATCAGCGGAGGGCCTGCAGGCCTGCGGGATAGAGGCGCTCTGGGAAGACGGCTCTGAGAAGAGGTGGTACCATGGAATGTACTGGAGAGCGCTCAGCGTTGGGGAGAGGGGAGGGTTGCGGGAAGTTTAGGATCAGGGGAGGATGGAGGGCCACAGAGGCTAGGAGTAGGGGGCGCTCAGGGGCCCCGGCCGCCCCGCGCCTCCCGAAGCCCGCGCCTCACCCAGATCCGGGTGCTCCAGGATGCAGTGCGCCACGTAGGCCGGCGGGCTGTGCAGGTTCCTGCACTTCTTGCAGAAAAGGATCTCGCAGCGCGAGCAGCCCCCGCCTGCGCGGCCGCCGCCGCGGCGTCTCCAGCACGCACGGCTCCTCCGGGGGGCTCCGCTTCCTGC